GATGGAAAAAATAAGATACAGAACAATCAAAGACATTTAACACACACCTGCACACATATGCACTTGTGCATAGTCACTACACACACACACAAACACACACACACACACACACACACACACACAAGGAAAGATGATGAGCAAAGGCCCTTATCTTAGTGTGCTCTTTGGGCTTGGTTACTAGTACACAGGGTGAACAAGAAACAATTGGATTGGAAATTCACCAAACTTTTAGGGGATGATTTGCCTTAGAAACTACAAGTCTGTCCGCAGAAGCCTGTGATGGTTCAGTACCTCAAATGCCAGAGAGTTCCAGTATCAATCCATACAATATCTATAAGAAAGACCCAATTATTCTACCTAATTTTGAGATTATAAGAGCAAATAAAATATTAATTACATTGTTCTTCTGTAGCACTTAAATGGGTAGTCTTCAATTTAAGAGCATACTGCTCTTTGTAACTCATCAACAAGCTGACAAAATTTCATGCCAATAATAAGATATCTGTGTTCTCAGGGGGAAGGGTAAATTCCATTCAATTTACTACTCTCTTTTCACCTGTATTCTTGCAAAAGCTGTATTTATGCATCATGCCAAAGCCATAGTATTTTCTTCTTGACACATCATGAACTAAGTTTTTGTTAGTTTTTAGTCACTTTTTAAGCTTGAGGTATAAACTTACTCTTCCAAATCCTGGCTAAGTCTGAATTAATTACAGCTGATTTAAAAGTGATTTGGGTCAGTTAATTTACCCTAACCACTGAAATTATGAAACAGCGAGGAATAAACTCATCTACAGCAAAAAAAGATTTCGGCAGAGTCCTGAACTGAACTCATCCATTAAAAAAGAAAGAAAAAATTCCCTACAACATTCCCAAGTCCCTACGAGCCCACAGGCAAGCTATTAAACAAAACACAGAAATGATAGAGAAACCTTGTTTGAGTGGGTGTTAGCAGATGTTAGCCAAGCAAATACTTTCAAAACATAAAATAAAAATAAGGGGTGCTCTACTAATGCTTTTACGAGACATCTAATACAGACCCAAGATGGCTCCCAGCCTACAGCAAAGGCAGCAGGCCTGTAGATATATTTGTTAGAACAGTGCAGTAAGAAGGGCCAGGAGCCAAACAAGTGTTTTGCCAAAGCAGTCCGTATGCTACCATTTATAGATGCTGCCTGGGAACCAGGCATCAGGCTAAGATTTTCATGTGTCAACTTTCATTTAAACCTCAAACAGACCTTGTGACTATGAGGTATTATCATTATTCCTCCTACCTTGTAGATGAGGACTCTTTTAGAAAGCTAGTATCTAAGCTCACTATCCTACAGGCATTAACTGAGAATGTAAGACCCAAATTTGAAGTCCATCCTTTTAACTACAACATTCTGTTTCTTCTGGGTGTTTCACCTTGGCTGATTTTTTTTCCCCTAGGAAATAATTATGTGCAGATGAAATAAATGCTTGAGTTATTAGACCCCAAATAATCATTTGTTTGTGGAAACATCTGTCTCACTTGGCAAATATCTGAGGTTTAGATATAACTTCATAGTTTGGTCTAGAGAACAAAAAATTTCAGAATTATGAAACTTTGAGGATCAAAAAAGACCACCTACTGAGGGTTCCTGCCATTTATAATAGACAGAACCCTTCCCTGGAAATTTCCATGAGAGCAGTCCTCTTCTCACAGCTTAGTGCTCTCATCCAAAAGATCATGCACCCGTACACCACTAACTGCAGCTCTTGCAGATTTTTATATTTGTGATGATGAAGAAAAATGGAAGTATCTACAATCTTTTTATAAGACATAAAAGTATTGAAAAGTTGGAATGCTGACAATTTAATATTGAACATTTCAGGTGACAACTGCAGTAAGGGTCTATTGCTCAATGCAATGTCAATCCATAAAGACTGGTTAAAGCAAATCTTAACTTTAAAAGCAAGTATTGGGTTTGTTATGTAAGTTATGAATGGAACCAAACTAAGTGATGATGGTATTTCCACAGGTTCATCAGTTTCTCTTTATATTGGTTATCATCAGAATTGGACATAGTATTTTGGAAGCACTCAGAGAGTAGAAGTGGATAAGTTCTAGATTCCTATTCCTTGTGCATTAACTTTTACCTCTGACTTCGAAGAATGGTTAGCTCCTTTATGAAACCAAATCTGCATCTACAGTAATTGGAAAGTCCACATCCAAATAATATACAAATGGTTCAATATGTGCACCTTTAAGAACTGTTTTCAAAATCTGTTTTATGTATTTTTCACATTTCATTAGAGTATCTTTTTGGTCTTTTTAAAGTCTTAACCGATTTCTTTAAAGTTCCTATATATTAATGTCTCCAATTATTATCATGATTATTAATACAAGTACAAAAGAAAGCAGACCCAAGTTTGGAATCTCAGGCTTCCAAAATGATCCTGCTGTCCTCAATGCAAAGAGGCAACACAGCTTTCACACAGATTCCAGACACAAGCATGCAGCCAGCCACTTCTGCCAGGTTGATCAATGCAAGCTCACTTCATCATTTGTTCTTTTGTCAAGGGGATGAACTGTTAGTCAGACAAACCAAGATCACGTCATGAAATGTTTAAACTAGTCCTAGGTCTTACCCCTGTACTGAGATTTCTATAAAGAAGATTGTCCAGTGCTCTCCATTTCATTTGGCAATTTTTAGTAAACCTTTCCAAAGACTAACCTCTGTATGTCCTCTCACATGAACTCAGACGTTTTCCAGCTTGCCTCTCATCTCTCTGATGATTTTCTGTGCACCCAAATTATATCTCCTGACAGCTGATATTTTGCTACCATCTTCAGACTATACATTTACAGACTTGTATTTTCTTAGGTACTTTTTCTTTTTTGTTGTTGTTTCTAATTTTTTAAATAAATGTTTATAGTTAATATACACAATAATGGGTTTCACTATGACATTCATATGTGTATACATACATATATATGCCATTGTACTCTGTTCTTATTGCCCCCCTTTATCTGATAGAATACTTAATTTATTTCAAGGACTCTAGCTTTCAGTCAACCCCAGTATTCTTCCAAATATTGCCACACAGACCAGTGGATTTGCTCTTTCAAGAGAACTTGGACTGCACTCAGGAAGCTGCAGAAGACAGAAGGAGCTTCGGGTAAGGAAATAAGCAACTGGGCACACTTGTAGATGAACTGGAAATCTGAGGAGATGCTGGAGGCAGCTGTCGAAGAGAACTGGGAAGTCAGAGGTGGCCTCATAAGGAGCAAGGTAGATTCAAGGGACTTAAAGGACAGCATCTGCCTATCCTCAGTCTCCCAAAGATGAGAGAAGCCAATTCCAAATGGGTTACATCCAGATATCGTTCTTTAAGTTAGTGACTCCTAAGGAACATGTTTATATGTGTAAATATGTTCAATTGAGTGTTTCTATTTGCAGAACCATAGAAAGAATACATTGGTTTGTGGGGGAAATATTTAAGATAAAATATGAGAATTTTAACTTGCTAAATTAAAAAATGGAAAGAAACAAATTTGAAGTATTCAATAACCCAGTGAATTTTCTTATTCACTCACCGCTTATTCTTTCACATGTTAAAAGGTGTTCCTGGAATTAAATTAGATGCTGGGATGGTTCATCTAGGCTGGATTCTTCAGTAAATGTAGAATGGATATAAGAATAAATGAGTATCCAAAGAGATAAAGGACTGGACAAGGAATCACACCAATAAAGTAAAGTGAATAATGTGTACATACCGACCCCAGTGTGCTTCCTGAAAAATATCATATTGAATAAGGAGAGTCAAAGCTAACACCCTTTGATTTTCTTCTGGTAAAGCTCTAGAGATTTAAAATCTTTTATTCAAGGTTATATGTCTTTCAAGTTTATAGTAAAGCTGAATTGTTGATGACATTCTCCATACCACCCAGACTTTTTATTAAAGTACATAGTAGAAGACCCTGAATAAAGGGTAGCCTCTATTCATAAATCACAATGATGCAAGAAAGTTACAGACAAGTCTGAGGTACAACCTTGAAATTTCCATCTTTTTAAACAAAACCTTCTCTAGAAAATTACCAATTAAAGGAATACAGATAATTTAAAAACTCAAGGGGAAGAGGAGATGACTCACTGGGTAAAGTGCTTACCTTGCAAACATGAGGACCAGAATTTGGATCTCTAGAACTCATGTAAAAAGCTGAGTGGGTGTGGAAGCCCACCTGTAATCCTAAAGCATGGGGGCAGAGACAGGGGATTCTCAGAGCAAGCCTCTCAACTAAGCTAACCCAAATGGCTAAGCTCCAGGTTCAGTGAGAGTCCCTATCTCGACATATAAGGTGGAGAGCAATCCAGAAAGACATCTGCCATCAACCTGTTCCTCCACACACATGCAAGAGGTGAAAGTACACTTGCACAAGTGTGCACCTACACACATGGGAACACATAATACCTCCTCCCCACAAACACACTTATACACACCCTCACAAGAAATTGGGCATCCTATTTAACAACCCGAAAACTGAGGAGCTTGATATGAGCAATTGTAATTACAATGAATGATCTAGCTTTCTTTTCATGCAGGCTGAACATTTTCTTTTTATTCTTGCAATTATACAAAATTGAACGTTTCCTTCCCCACTACCTGTCCCCAACAACCATTCAAAAAAGAGAGTCATAAAACTATTCATGGTAGTACATGCTTGCAATCCTAGTGCTTGAGAGGCAGAGGCAATCGGGCCTGGGGATCCCTGGCCAGCCAGTCTAGCCTAATCAGGGAGTGCCAGGTCAAGCAGGGAGACCCTGTCTCAAAAACCAAGGTAGATGGCACCAGAGAAATGAGGCTGACAGTTGACTTCTGGCCTTTTAATATGAAAGGCACACACACACACACACACACACACACACACACACACACACATACGCCCTTCACATGCACCCGCATACATGCATACAAACACAGAGAAGAGACAGCCATAACAACACTTTTTTGTTGAGACATAGAAATTACATTACCATGCACTTGCAATTGAGTGTGCTGCTGTGCTTCTCCAGCTGCATTGGTAGCCACACATGTATATCTGCCAGCATCTTCCAACAGAGCCTTGGCAATTTGTAGAACTCGACCAGAAGACTGTATCTAATTGGAAGCAGAAAGCATGGCAGCATTTTGTGCTTGTACTTGAAAACATTCACTGAGATAGAAAAATTCACTTAAATGTATAATATCTATTCATATTTCCATGCCAATATCTTAATTAACTCAATATACGAGAGCCAGATCACTTCACGGTGTATAACAAAATAAGTTACTTTGTTTGAAAAAGCTTATTCTTAATCATTGGAAGACACAAAATAAAATAACCCAAGGCTAGCCTTCTGGTATAGTCATAAAACTCCACTGAATAAAAAAACTTTCACATTGGACCATGAAGTATGTGATGAAAATTTAAGCTCTCTGAAATAAAAAAAAAAGACCTCATTTATGTAACACTTCATAAATGGTTTTAAGACAACAATCTTTTTGATGAAATTGTCACAGGAGCCAGAAAAACTGTAAAGTTATAAAATATGAATAATGGGAATGCCGATAAATTGTTGTTTTTCTCATCTCTGCCTTAATTTCATCACAACTTAGCCCCCACTATTTTGAAGTTGGTCAATCAGAGGTTATTCTTTAAAGCTGACTACTTCAAAGTACCAATAATCTCCAATCATATAGCACAACACTAAGTGCATACTCTCGCCATCCATGGCATTTTGTGTCTTCAACCACCTGCTTCTTGATGGTTTGTATTCAATGGGGATTAAAGATAGTGTTCTAGATTATTCCTCAGTACTTATTCTCTGACTTTCTTTAGATATTACTTTACAGAACTGCTTTCTCCTCTGTCTCATAAACAGAAAACTTAACTCTCAAGTTTTCATCCACAACCGTGCTTTGGTGAAAAACCCTTTCACACTTCTGAATTTACGTTTTCAGCCTTGACTTGTCTCCTGAGCTCTATACTCATAGTTCTAAGTCAGGTTAGTGCATTAAATATAAGCTGTCCAGAACTAAGCTCACAAATCTTTCCCATGTAGCCTTAAAACCAACTTTTCATTGCACATTCCCAGTCAATGGCACCCACGATTTTTCCAGTCATCTGGGTTTTGGAACCCACTTTGACTTCTATTAATTATACCACAGCATGTTTCTCAGATGCCCTGTTTTTCCATTTCTATAGCCACTGTGGGATTATAATGGCTTCTTAACTGATGTTCCAGTGTCTCCAGTCTCCCCCATTGTTAATCTATCTTGCACACTGTTGCCAGGATAATTTATTTAAAATGGGAATTTGATCTTTTCACCCGTCCTCTTGTAGACCGACCTCATTCATGGCTCCCCACCTTGCCCATAAGGAAATCTGAACTAAGCATAGGCCTCCAGGCTCACCACATTCCAACCCCAAATGGTCTCTCCATTGTCCCAAGTGAATTTCCATTTAACCTATTTTCCAGCCATGCTGCACTAAACACACAAAGCAACACATCATGCATTTATTTTCAGCTCTAGAGTACTACACCTGGCCTTTAATATCACAATTTATTAAGACTTTGCAGTAGGTTTATCTTTTTCCTTTCTCTTTTACTTCTTTACTCCTTGAATTAACTCATCTGTGCCCAAGGCTTGAAATATTAGTAATGTGCCAATATCTCCAGCCAGATCTCTGTTGAGCTCCACCACCGTATTCAATGACCTATTGACATCTCCAGTGTCTCCACTGCAGAGTCGAACTCATATGAACTCTAGAAGTCTGAAATTAAAATAACATTACTTTACCCTGCCAGAGCATCCTATCTCACTGGTGGGTTAATATTATCCATGTTGTTAGGTTGCTCAGATTCCCAGTTTTCCTTACAAACCTCTCTCTCATCTTTCATAAATTCTGAATGTCTTGACTAATAAATAACTCTAAGATCTGTCAAAGTATCCTCTTCTGTGAGTAGAACATGATTCCAAATTTCTACATCTGTCTCCTACAGAAATGAAAATTGGTCCTAATTGGTTTCACATATCTATCTACTCTCGACTCTTATTTATTTTTCAAAAGGGACACCAGTAACTTTAGTCATGCACCTTACACAGTGATTTGACCAACGGTGGACCACACAGATGATGGCATTCACCATCTAGCTCTGGTGTGCTCTAGGTTATACAACATCTAGGTTTGTCTAAGTGTACCCTGTTATGTTTGTACAGCAGCGAGTGCCAAATGATGTATCACCATGTATCTTCATTATTAAGTGGTGCATAACTATATTTAAAATTAAACCTGATGGTGTCATTCCTCTCTTAAAACTCTACTCTGTCTCCATTGCCTTAGCAAAAATAAAATCGTAGGTCTTATTCAGCTGCTTCTTACTGACTCTCTAGTGCTGGGCCCTTAATGCCAGCTCTTCCTTGCCTCTCTTCTCAGACTGCTGTCTTGCTTTCAGGTCCCTGATGCTCTCCTGTAACTTGATTGTACATATTTTCTGCAGTGTTTCTTTTCCATTTAATTCATATAGTCTTCAGAACTCTGCTCAAAGGTTTTCCCCATAATTTCCCCCATGTTCAAAGGCTTTCCTCACATTATCTTCTATCTATAATCTTTCTTCAAAATAGTCATTAAAATGTTCAATTCTTTTTGCAATACCAGCTGATAAATCTCTCTCTGTGTTTGTCTCTCTGTCTCTGTCTCTGTCTCTCTCTCTTCAAGATAAACAATCTTTTACTAGCACTGTGAAGTTTGTATAATGAGTTTCTTCATTACACACGAAGGTATAAAATAAGTTCCACTGGATTTAGAGCAGGAATAGTAAATTAACAGATATTTATCATTTCTATTGGGAAAGGACTCAAGGACTCAAGACCCCTTGCATACTGAAAACTTATAAGTAATATTTATGCTATTATTTGTCAATTAACTTGAATCTATTAGCTGTGTATTTGGTGGGGGGGGCTTTTTGAGAAATTCTGTATTTTTAATGGTACTGGAGAAGAAGACCAGGACTTTATGCATGCTAAGCAAGCAGCCTGCCACTGAACTGTATCTGCAGCCTTTTCTGTCTGTTGTTGCTTTAAGACAGGGTCTCATTATGTTGTCTAGGGTGTCCTTGAACTTGGTCTTTAGCCCAGGTAGTTCTTAACTTATAATCCTCCTGCCTCAGCCTCCCAAGCACCTGGCCTGTACCACCAGGCCTGGCTAATTTTGATTTCTAAATCTACCAATTTGATAATCCAGGGTAGAAATCTGGTATCCATTTATCTCTTTATCTAATCACTAATTCTTTCAATATGTACCAAGACATAGTTAAATGCCAGATAGCACAGTCAGTATGTGATACAAAAATGACTTTTATTCATTCATAAGATAATATTTTTCTGAAAGTCAAAGCCAGGATAAATGAATATAATGAAAAACAATCATCATACCAAAACCTGCACCATTAAGGTTAGTTAATTCAATTCAAAAACTAAAGAAAACATATTTTGACAAAATTTATGCAAAATCTGTCCATAGGAAAATTTTTAGTTAAGAAAGAGTGGCATGATAGCATCAGCAAGACCTACACAGCTGTCTTAATTCGGGCTTAATAACTTGTACTTACTCTGAGGTTTCCTTGGGCAGTGTTCACAGGTTGGTCATCTTTCAACCACGTAAGGGATGGGTTTGGAATTCCATTGGCTATGCACTGCAAGGTGACTGGCTTATATTTCACCACAGCTTTCTCAGAATGGTCTAAGGACTTGATTGTTGGAGGAACTGGATGGAAAGAAGGGAGAGAGAGAGAAAAAAAAAACTATAATCAGGTGTGATAACGCTTTACAAATACGTGTGAGACACCCACGCCTATATAGGCAGCACAAATTGGACTCCGTGAGTTATAAAAATATAAAAGGATATGAAGAGGGAGGGGATGAATCTGAGAGGAGTTATGAGCAGGAGTGATTGGTGTATTTGATCATACTGATCAAAATAAATCATATGCATGTATGACATTCTCAAAAGCTTAATAAAATAATCTTTTTTAAAATATGTATGAGACTTGAAACTTTAAAATTTAGAAAAAGTATTGATTTCAACAATGAACTAACTTCATCTTGCATTTAATTTATAATTTTTAGTAATTTTAAATATTACACATTCTTAATTATGGCTCTCTTATTCTTCAAAGACTGTACATATGGTTACTGCACTCTAACATATATGTTTAGTTTACACCCATTGGCATATCTTCCCAGCCAATAATAATCTTCCCTTTCTCTGGAAGGATCTCATTAAACTAGTGTGAGATTCCAGCGGTATTTATGCCATATGTCCGTGTCCCCAGTAAGGCTGACTGAACCTGAGGTCATAAGCTGATTGAAGTTTGGTCTGCCAGATTCTCCCTCAAGAATCTGGATTTGAGGCTGAAGAAAAGGATAGTCCATCATGCAACATGGGGGGAAGATTTAAAAACAAGCCTGCAGAGACAGAGGGAAGAATAAAGCTGACATTCACAGATACCTCTCCTGGTGGATTCCAGATGGCCTGCCAGTTTCTGGTTCCAGTCCCTTCCTTCCCAAGTTCTGTTGGCAAGTGAGAGACAAAATGCCCTGGCAGACTTACTCCTGTCATTAGATTCACAGTCATAACCCTAATGTGCTAGTTCTGTGAATGCACTTACAGTCCCTGAATCATGCAATTACATTCTAAGCCTCAACTTCTGGAAAATACTCAGCTTATAGCCTTTCTGTTTTGGGTAAATCCTTAAATGCTGACACAACCCCTTTACTTGGAAATCACTGCAAGCCTCTTCCATCTTGTTCTGTGTCACTCCTCAGATTTTGACACAATGTAGAAGACACTTTCTAATACTTAGTTTCTGTCTAAACTTATTCATGTCAATAAAATAATTTAAATCTGCCATTATTTGACTAAATTCGTGCTTTTTAAATGACTTTCCACAAACAAGATTTATCTAGAATAATCTCTGTGGTGGTTTGAATGAGAATGTTCCCCCACAGGCTCTAAGTAGTTGGACATTTTGTCTTCAGTTGGAGGCGCTGTTTTGGGAGGTTTTAGGAAGTGCTTGCTGGAGAAAGAACATCACTGGGGTCGAGCTTTGAGTGTACTTAAGCCTTGCCATATTTCCTGTCTCTATTAGGAAATATGCCTGCTTAAAGGTGTGATTGCTTGGCTTTCTGCTTCAGCTACCTCTGCTGCCATGCCTCCCCTACCATGATGAACTCTATCCCTCTGATCTGAAGTTTAAATAAACTCTTCCTTCAGTAAGTTGCCTTGGACATGGTGCCTTATCACAGTAACAGAAAAGTAACTAATACAGAAGTTGGTACCAGAAGTGGGGTATTGCTGTAAAGAACCTGATTATGTGGGTTTTTTTTTGAAAAATTTGGAAAGCTTTGGATGCTGTAAGCAGAGCTTAGCAGGTAACTCTAGTAGAAGCCTAAGGAAAGTAGTGCTGAGAGCAAAGTAGTTCTAGAGAGAAAAAAGACTTAAACAGCAACTGGGATATTTTGGAAAAGCGTCTGGCTGCCATCTGCCCGTAGCCTAAGCTTGCCTGTGGCTAGATTGAAAAGTAATGGACTAATTTCTTTGATGGAAGAAATTTCAAGACAACCTAATGTAAAATAGATGGCATGGTTAATGGTAACTATTGTACAGAGAAGATCTATAATGAAAAAGAACAAGTGAAGCAAAAAGAAATTCTGAACGTACAGTTGGTTGAAAAAGAGCACTAGGAAGCTTAATGTTGGAGTCAAGGCATGTGCTGAAGGAGAAGTTCTCTTTGATAAGGAGATTGGAGTCTTTAAGTAGAGGCCTCTAGATTTGCACTGGAACAATGGAAGGAGTACCTTCTGGCCAAGACCAAACCCAGCTAAGCCTCTCACTTGTGAAAGGAAAAAGCCAAAGGGGTTCCTACTTCTAGAACACTGCTATTGGCAAAAGCTGTGAATGTGAATGACGCAGGTCAAGGTCCATCCCAGGCTGGCAGCTGAACTTGACAGTGTCCTTCACATGGTTCTGGCTTTAGAGGCATGAAAGATACAAGTGTGAAGGGGTCATCGGTTCTTCCTGCACAGTTTCAGACAGTCACTGAGGCCAGATAGTGTGCAGCAGGAACATCCCTGCATAAAGAAGGCCCTGACAAGCCAGGAGGCCTTGAAAGGCAATTGCATGAAGCTGTGAAGGTGAAGCTTGGTAGCAGTGGAGAACCCAAGAAGACATTGAAGATGTTGGAGCCCTGAGACATATGCCAAGGAAAGCTGCATACAGGAAGCAGTACCAGCCCAAGAGAGCGATGTATGTTGCATGCAGGCAGCAAAGCTGGAGGGATTGAGCCATCTAAGCCTCCAGAAGTCAGATATGGAGATACTGGACTTTGTGTTTGCCCTGCTGGTTTTTGATCTTGTCTTGGTCTGGTATTTCTTCAGTATGCCCCATTCCTCTCTTTGAGAATGGTAATATATATTCAGAGCCATTATATGTTGGAAGTATGTAATTTGTCTTTGATTTTGCAGGGGTTCATAGTTAAGAGAGGACCTTGAGTCTCAGAAGAGACTTCAGACTCTGGACTTTTGAATAGTACTGAAACTGGTAAAGATTTTTGGGGACTTCTGAAGGGGGACTAAATAGATTTTGTACTTTATATGGTCATGAACCTATGGTGGCCAGGGAGTGGGATGTGATGGTTTGAATGAGGATGCCCTCCCATACGCTCCAAGTATTTGGACATTTTGTCCCCAGTTGGTGCTGTTTGGGGAGATTTTAGGAGGTGCTTGCTGGAGGAAGCACATCACTGGAGAGCAGCTTTTGAGAGTTCTTAAGCCTTGCCAGAGTCCCAGTCACTCTCTACTTGAAGATGTCATCACTCAGCTTTCTGCTCCGGCCACCTCTGCCGCCATGCCCTCCCTGCCATTGTTGACTCCAACCCTCTGAACCCTAGGTCAAATAAATTCTTCCTTCTATAAGGTGCTTTGGTCACAGTGTTTTATCACAGCAACAGAAAAGTAACTAATGCACTCTTCATTCTAAATTAGATAGTAAAATAAAGCATGGGTTAGTTTGAAATGCAACATGCCCTTTGCATCTTCAGCATACCATGAACAGTCACTTCAAATTCCTTCCTGTCATCTCCAGCAGTGTTGGTTGCCACACACTGGTAAAGGCCTGTGTCTGACACTTGAGCCTGAGCAATAACCAGCTTGCGTCCATTTAGTAAGATCTTGAATCCATCCCTTTCATCAATTAGTTGACCAACTTTGAGCCACCTATAGAGAACAACAAAAAGAAATTTTGATATGTATCACAAATAAATAATTCCTTAGAAAATATGTACATTTTATATTTACTATCTATGGTGTATTGGCCTAATCTCCTAAGTAATTACTCTGTAAAATAAATTGTAAATGTAGAAGAGAAGAAAAGAGGAAATGTGGTTTAACATAGAAGCTGGAATACTGTTGGAACCCAACAGTTATTTAATGAGTTCCTTTTTCTAATAATTATAGGTTATAAAAAGAGATAAATGATACTAAACATTATTCACTTTAATATTTAAATAATTATAACCAGGAAAATGTAAATGATTTTTCAATATTTTACACATAATACTAAAATCACATTGCTTTATATTTTTACATTTTAGTGAGCTACAATTTTTTATTTTGTTTTATAATCATGGGGGAACCCTAGTAAACTATTCTTTTGCATATCCCATATGATTTTGAAAATGAAAATTATGTGTTTAATAAATGGTTTGTGAATGAAGGAATGAGACAAAACTGTCAAGAATGTCTGGATGCCCCTATCCTCCATTTCTCTAAGATTTCTCTATTCTTTTTATTTAGTCATCTGTTAAACATCTCAGTACCTCAGGGAGGTTTGAAATACTGCTTAATAGTCTATATTGTTCAACTGGACATATAATTTCTCAAGATGATATAAAGATGTTTTTCCAAAGGTTCCTTTAAATACCAAGCAAAAGTTGCCTTGCATATAGATCACACATATATATATATACAAATATGATTTTGTTCTTCCACTCTTCGACGAATCCTTCAAGACCACTTTAAAACACTTATATTAAGAAGTGAGAGGTATTTAGAAGACATACCAAAACGCTTACATGATAGTTGGTGGGGGAGAACCTGTGGCTTGACATTCTAGCTCCAGTAAGTTATTCACCATCACAAACAAGTAGGATATTTCTTCTCCTCCTTCTACCACTGGTGGCACTAGAAAAAATAAAGAACGTAGGATGCAAAGGAATGTTCACAAGAAGAAGCACACTTTGACATCAAGCAATACTAAGAAGTAGAGAATTATCATATGAGTTTAATATTCAAAGGGGATTTGAAGTGTACTGTAAATGTATTTTATAAGAAGTACTTGCCTGGATGAATGTTCTTGTGACAACTGAGTTTTTCTATAACCAGAATTATGGTGTTATAGACAACACATGAATATAAAGTTGATTCATATTTTATATTGTTTATCTTCATAAGAATATCCATTCAAGAAATTTAAATCTAAAATTATAGAGACTGAGCTGGGCTTGGTGGTGCATCTTTAATCCCAGCACTTGGGAGGCAGAGGCAGGTGGACCTCTATGAGAGCAAGGTCAGTCTGGTCTATATAGCAAGTTCCAGGTCAGCTGGGGCTACAGGGGGACTCTATCTCAAAAAAGACCAAAAAAACTACAGAGATTCAATGTTGCAGGTTGACTTCCCATGGCTCAAAGAGTGCTTCTTGTGGTTTAGTAGTGCCCATGACAAAATAACATCGTATGGCTCATGCAATCAGCAGCTGATACAGTTATGAGAATGTATCTTTATACTTACAAGGACAAACTACACTCATCAAAATAGTGGCAGATTTGTATGAGAGTTAGATCATGGGACTAGGTGATAAATCAATCACTTGAATAGAATTGAAGAGTCCACTATATCTTAATTTATATTGCTTTCTTGTTATGTGATCCAAAAAGCTCTTAATAATCAGGTTGTGCTATGAAACTGACAATCCAGGCAATGACAGCCTTACTCACCTAAGACATCAACTTCATATTTGATCTCTTTTTCTCCTGCCACACTGGTAGCCACACATATGTACTGTCCCCGATCACTTTCTAGGGCACTTGAGATTTCGAGTTTCTTCCCACCAGCTTCTATGTGGATGTTGTCACTGGCTTTCACAGGTACACCATCTTTTAACCAAGTAAGAACTGGAGGAGGGTTGCCAGCAGCTTTACACTCCAGGGTCAATGAATGAGCAATGACAACTTGCTTATTTGAAGGAGTGGTCAAGTCACCTTCAATTATTGGAGGAACTAGGCAGAAAAAATAGTAGTATTTCAGGCAATTCTTTTTCCATTCATAAAAGAACATTTTAAGTAAATAAAAGTGATTTTTTTCTCATATAGTTTGATCACAGGAACCACCTACATGTTCATTCCTTCCAGAGCTGTTGAGGGAAGAATTGCTAGATTCAGCTGACCTGCAACTCTTCTAATTATTCTGAGATACTCTGCATTGCCAGGCTCATGCAGGGTGAATAACTAAGAATAATATTAATCCTAACAATGACTTAACCTTATCTGTAAGAACAAAATGGTCTAGATGTTCCACATTCCACAGCAAAGATTGGTTAATGCCTACTTTTCCCTAACCTTAGCTTTTGTAAATATTTTCCCAAATCATAACAAATTCTTTCAATTCTAATCTATATACATTGCCAAAAATACCTGCCAAGATTATTAGTGAGTAAATTAGATGTCAACATATTAGAAAGCAATGGTAGAAAGATACTCAGCTAAGGCATCCATTTTCCCTTACCATAGATGTCAACGTGAAATGATTTTTCAGCGGTTCCAGCAACATTGGATACACGACATGTGTATGTTGCCGAATCAGAGACCTGTGCTCGAGGAATATGAAGAAACTGTCCTTTATCAATATAAAGAGCTTGTGAGTTGGATATGACTAACTGGCCATCCTTATACCAAGTAATAGTAGGCACTGGAAGTCCCCGTGTTTCACATTCCAATTTAATTATGCTGTTGATCAATGCTGATATTTCTGTGGTAACATTTCCTCCTTTAATACTAGGTGGAACTACAAAAAAAATTCAGAACAAACACAGGTTTAACATCTGCACCACAAAATTAAATGCTATAGTTGCTTAAATTATGAGTTTAATATCAATACACATTGACGAGAGGAAGTATGTGATTTATCTGTAGATAGTTGCCTCCCTAGTCAAAACAACATTTATCATCTTCCTTTTGGGTTCCAGCTTTCAGCAAAAACAGTAAGTCACAGATTCAGTTTCAGGCGCTTATTTAAGTCAGTAGATTATATTAGAGTAACCAAAAAAGTTAGGTTCAACAAACAAAGCAAACCAAAATAAAGCCCCACTTAAAGTAAACATATTGAGTTTTTAAATCATGCCAAGGGAACAAAAATATCAGATGTGGTACAATTGCATGCTCTCCTCCCAGGAAATATGGTGAAAGTCTACATCTGAGTGCTTTCAGAACCAGCTACTAGTAGTAGCTGTAGAGTCCTACATTGGCTGCTTTTTTTGAGCTGCCAGGAGTCCATCCAGCCCACTGTTCTCTAATTGGCTACATATGATCTTCCTCCATCCAGGGACTTTGTGCTGGCCTAACATTGGCTGCTTTTTTTGAGCTGCCAGGAGTCCATCCACCCCACTGTTCTCCTCTAATTGGCTACATATGATCTTCCTCCATCCAGGGACTTTGTGCTGGCCTCTCATGCCATCAAGGACTGTGCTTTTGGAAAAACACCTCAAGTTGCTCAAGCTGAGCTGCTTATTTCCTATAATTCTAATGATTTTAAAGAAATCAAATGGGGGATGGAGAGATGACTCAGCAGTTAAGAGCACTGGCAGCTCTTACAGAGGACCCGGGTTCAATTCCCAGCACCCACACGGCAGTAGCAACTGTCCTAGGGAATTCCACACCCTCTTCTGAACTCTGTGGGTACCCTTACATACATGTAGGCAATATACTCATACACATAAAATAAAAATAATAAATAAAATATTTTTAAAAAGAAACCAAATGGCATGTGTCTGAATTTGAGAATCTTAATATAATTTTAATAAATATTTACATTTTAGAAAAGAATATTCTGTATAATGCCTTTCACATGGTTAGCCAAGGGCTCTGGGATTTGAGAGTGAGATCAGTAATGAGCGGTGTCCATCTTATCACATCATCACATCACATCATCACATCACATCCACAGTAACTAGTGTCCACATGATGTATTGCTGATGTTGTTATCCTTGATAAACTGAGTAATGCAGCTACTCCTTTCCCCCCATGCCCAGCCATATGAACCGAGTAAGCAGTTATGTTTTACTTTCTTTAGAAGGAAACACACACATAATTTAATTGAAATTCTGAGTGGGAGATGTTATCTCTTCTCTCCACTTTATTTAATTCATGTATCTCCATCGGTATGAACTCATGGAAAGTTATCTTATACTTGGGGCTATAGTCCAATTATGCATTTATTTAGCAGTCTGAGTCATCGAAGTGCATTTAGTTAGTTCCTATGTGCTTGTATCATCTTATTATTTTCAGACTTCCTTAATTTATGGCCCTAGGACATGCTCCACACTCATCTTATGAAATCTTGCAATGGTCGTAGAGCTATTTCTCCAAGGAGCCTTGGCTGCTTTTTAGTGGGGAAGGACATTTATTGGAAAACAAGATTTCAGTGCTGAGTAGACTATATTTTCTGGTAATCTTTCTGAGAACTATTTCAGAGTCACACCCATATGCATTTTTTTCTCATATATATAATGTGAGGCATGGCCTACCCCATTACAGGTGAATTTGATATTGGAATCATCATGTAAAATTCAAAGTTTGGTGTTCAGAAATAAAGTTTCCTTGAAATATGGTCACACTTGCTCATTTATATACTAGCTGTGGCTGCTTTCATTTAACAGTGGAAAAGTATTTGCAATGGGGAAATGGTGCACTCATTTCTTCTACTGTCTCTCAGTTTAATGTAAATGTTATTGACACATTTATAGATCGACAGCATCTCAGGTGCCATGCATGTAACAATACCATTATGTTTTATTTTTTATTTGTTTTTATTGAATTTTTGTGTATTTCATACAGAACATCTCAAACAATCTTAATCATCCTTATACCCCAGCCCCACCAGCACCCTCCCATAGGCCCCCCACTGGAACCCATATACTCTATCACCTGTGTTAAGGCCCACTGTGTCAAGTCAGTGTCCCCATACATTCCCCAGTGCATGTCCATCCACTGAGGTCTAGTCAGACTATCTAGAGTCTCTTGTTTTAGGAAGATCAGCTCTTCCTCACCTAGCAGTCATTGGTTGCCAATGTTTCCTCAGGTATGTTGGGGTCTGCTGCTCATTTCCTCAGTTCTGGGCTATTTTTTTTCTGCCTGAGTTTGCATGGGACTTGTGTACACTGACATCATTGCTAGAGACTCATATGAGCAAGGTCCAGATATATATATATATATATATATT